TTAGAAATAGAGAAAGCAGACTAAGGCCTCAGACACACTCCGGCAAGAGATGGTACAGGTCCAACAAGGTATGATACTGAAACAGTAAAAAATGGTATGGAAATAGAAATAGAGGGTGAAAGGCAAAGAAGATCAGCTGCACGGGCGGCAAAAGAAAAAATGAAAGAATGGACCAAATTACTTACTAGTGGTTAAACTAATAAATGTTTTTTAAGCTAACATGGTTTTATTTATTGTAATTCAAAATAGCTTTAATAATCATAATATTTAAGGGCTAAACATACATCCTCGGCCGTCGGGAGTGTCGCGAATAACGCGAGACCCGATATATATATTTAAGGCTGGCAACAAAATAGATGTCAAAGAGTGACAGTGACAGATAGAGAAAGAGAGAGAGAGGGGAGAAAATGGAGTGATCAGTGGTAGTAAGTCATGATGTATAAGTGTGTCAAATAAAGTGAAAGAATCTGGGAAGTAAATAGAAATAAGGATACGTAGAGTGCGAGATAAGACAAAGAGATATCTGGAGGTAAGGGTGGTTGTAAGGGGACAGGAGGAGACCATCTGGGGGAGCATGGGCTCCCTAGATTTAAGACAAGTCTGCCGGTACCTCTTGGTTGGTATCAGAGGCGAGAGACTGGGAACGTACGGTCATGTCATGATCATGTAAAAGTACTCGGTATATCTATTAGGTACAATCTTAAATACTTGATTATATCATATAAATATTTGAGATTATAATACATAAATACGATAAAGCTTAATAATAATAGATGGATTAATGTACTTAGTAATATTTCCAAATTATCTGTTAATTGTAATGAAATAATAACAGATTACGATAAAGTAGGAACAGGAATCCTCAAGTTACAAAAAGGTTGTAAGGCTTACCATAAACTATTGCAATTTATTGCTACTAATGAATATTATTCTAATATATATTCATCTACTCCTCACTTCAACATAATAGAAGACGATTGTTGTTCCAAAAAATTTGTAAATAATAGTATTCCATATTTGACACCTATTAGGCTATCTCATATTAATTTAGATTCATTACAATACGCTTCGCATAAACTTAATGAAGCCACAGAAGAACTCGGTAAAATACAAAATCAGCCGTATCATATTTATTTATTTATTTAATCTTAATTGCCTAGTGAAATAGACAAATGGCTGACTTGATGCCAAAGAGGCATTCTCTACCAGTCAACCAGTAAATTTAGTTCAATACTTAAAGTGGCGATTGGCGACAATACGCTATTGATATCTCTGCATAAGAACTATATCTAAATATACATAAAATACATACATACACATACATAAGTAAATGCATATATATAACTATAACACAAAGTACGAAAAAGGTGTCAGATCAAGAAATCTTGTTTGAAGCATAATAGAAGTTGCGAGCTGCTGTCTTGAATGCAAATTTGTTAGGAGCACTCCGGACGTTCAAAGGCAGTGCATTCCAAAGACGGATGGCGGTTAGAGTGAAAGAATGAGATACAAAACAAGAATGATGAGAAGGGGTTTGGAGTACCAGTCTACTACTAGAATGAAGATTTTTCAGGTGAGAGGCACGTGCACGAGTGCTCGTGGATCGAAAAGTATCTGGAAAAGTGTGCAAAGAATCTTTAAGCACCTACGCTCCCGAATAGAAAGCCACTCAAGATGTTGACGAAAATTGGAGATGTGGACATATTTGCGCAGATCGAAAACAAAACGAATAGTATTGTTCAGAAGACGATCAAATCTATTGAGAAAGGTTTGATTGATATCCGAATTACAAGCATCAGGATAGTCGAAAAGGGGATGTACAAGAGCTTGGCCGAGAGCAGACTTAGTACGGGGAGGGAGAAAGTTCATAAGTCGATAAAGCGAGCCGAGGGTGCGATGAATTTTACTGCAGATCCATTGTCCATCTGATCATCCCAGTGCAAAGTACTGTCAAGAACAAGCCCAAGATTTTTTACCTTAGCAGCATAAGGATCACCGAGCCAGTATAGGTAACACCAGGAAATGTGTCGAGGTTAGTTTGCGATATTTGTCGGGAGCTACCGATAATAATGGCCTGACATTTGTTGGGATTGACAGAAATACCGAAGTTATTTGACCATTCAAATATCCGCGCAAGATTTTGGTTCAGTGTACATATGGCTCTATTAAGGTTGTGAATGTCATCCTGAGCATATATCTGCAGGTCATCGGCGTACAGGTGATAAGAGGTTGTAAGAACAGACGTGAGGGAGTTAATAAAAATTGAAAAGAGAAGAGGAGAGAGCACACCGCCATGAGGGACACCAGGAAACAAGTTACACCAGTTAGAAACTGAATTACCCACTCGTACTGCCTGCTGGCGTCCATGAAGATAAGAGGAGAACCATGCGAGCACGGATGAAGAACAGCCAAGCTGAGAGAGAAGAGCAAGGAGGATATCGTAATCAACTGTGTTAAAAGCGTTAGAAAAATCAAGTAAAACTAACACAGTTAAACGAGAGTTCTCCATACCGTTACGAATGTCGTCAACGATTTTAATAAGGGCAGTGGAAGTGCTATGACCCGGGCGGAATCCTGATTGGAAAGGGGAAAGGAGCTGATGACGAAAAACAAAGGATGAAAGTTGTTTATGGACAGCGGCTTCGAGAACCTTGGAGAGGAAAGGCAAAATTGAAATTGGTCTATAATGATTCATGGAGTCAGGGTAGGAAATTTTTGGAAGACGGGAGAATAGCATCAAGTAGGAGGTTAGTCATGTTCCTGCTAATATTATCAGATCCTATAGCCTTGGATTTTATACAGACAATCAACTTACGAGTGTCATCTTCGGTGAGAGCGGCAAAAGAGAAGAGATTACTAGGGGATATAGTCGTAGAAAAAAGTCTGGATAAACTGAGGAACTTAACATTGACAGGTAAAGTATTAACAGGAGAGAAAGGACGGCTAAGATCGTCTAAAGCGAAAGGGCAAGAAGGCTGAGCGCGAGACTTTCCTAAGCCCAGAGAATTCAGGAAGCTCCACATTTCCGCTTGGGAGGAGCTAATAATATTTTTGTGAATGTATTGGCGTTTGGCTCTTCTTATCACCTGGTTACACCTGTTTCTGGCATGTCTAAATACCTCCCAGTTTGTATCAGTAGGACATCTTTTATAGATACGGAACGCCTTTTTACGTCTACGCATCATAATGCGCACAAAAGGAGTAATCCATGGTGCAGAAGGTCGTTTCAACTTAACAGTCTTGACTGGAGCATGATCGTCAAAAAGCTTGAAGATTACGTTATTAAATCTGGTAACCATTTCATTTACTATGGCGCCATTGCGTACAGAACACCAATCAATTACAGATGCATCCCTCATAAGCGCCCCAACATCCAATTGCGCGAAATTCCTCATGCGAACCATCCTCGGCTTAACCTTGGGAGGCTTAACTTTGTAGACGACAAAGATAAGGTCATGTCTGGAGAAGCCTGGCGCAGGCACCTGACTATGTTTAACAACACGATCAAGTGAAGATATGATAATATGGTCGATCCAAGAGTCATCAGTAGGGAGATTATGATGTGTCGGACTGAGAGGTAAAATAGAGAAGTTCGCGGACTCGATGATCGATCGAAACCTTTAAGAGGAGGGGATATCCTTTATAAGATCCATATTAAAGTCGCCCATGATGATGTGATGTTGGTAACCAGTTGCGTAAGAGTCAATGAGAGATTCCAAATCGGTAAGAAAAGGAATAGAAGGGGGACAATAAACAACGCCCAAAAGCACTTTGGTGCCTTTGACAACAATCTCGAGTAAGAGGTATTCCATACAAACGTAATTAGAATACGAGGAAGCAATTAATTTAAAGGGAATTCTATGCGCTAAATAGATGGCTATTCCGCCACCACTCTTGCCAGCACGATCGTTGCGAATCAGTGTGAAGTTAGGAAGATCGTAAGAAATAGATTTTAGACAAGGTTTCAGCCAACTTTCCGAAACAAGAATAGCTTGAATTGGGTTGCTGTAGAAGGTGTTAAGGAGATCTGTATAATGGCATGGAACACTCTGAGCATTAATATGGCAAATTTTTAAGCATTCAGGAAATAAACCAAGTTTGATTGCAATCCGTGCACTCAAATCGTCACCATCCAAAGAAGAAGTATCGATTGAATTAAATGAGGAGTTCACATCACTAGCAGAGCTATATACACTTGAATCCGACATTACAATGAAGTTTAATTATTGTAACAATATCTATATATATAAATACAAACAAATAAAATATATTAAAAACACAAATAATTTAATAACAATGACCTGTACTATTCCCTGGTTGAAAGGTTTACAAACATTGTGTAAAGATTAAGTTACATAATTAAAAAGTAAAATATCGCTACAAAGGAAGCATTACAAACGCGAAAATAATAATTAAAATTAAATTTCAAATAAATGATGTTGCTCACCAAAACGTTGTTCAAAACAAAAGCAAAGAAACAACTATAAGATTAAAAAGAAATCAAAATAATATATTACATATATATAATTAAACTAAAACCGCATATATTTTTGGATATATCTAGCTTCCTCTGCAAACGAACGACTTACTAAAAAAAAAGTTACGTTTAAGACGGCACATTTTAACACTGACAATAGGCTGTATGAGTTATAATAATCCCTTTGCCGTAACAACAATGACAGTTTGGAGTTACAGGTGATACATGTCATAATTTTCAAGAGTGATAGCAGTATGATATTGTAACAATTAATGCCAAACAAAAAAAAAATAAAATTTGTGTAGTAATGCAACATAAAGCAATACTGCCCCAAGCTTATGCATAAATAAGAATTAACTAAACAAATAAAAAGTGGGTATCTACAGCAAGCAGTGATTGTGTACATAAATAAATTATGTGATAAAACAATAAAAAGCGGCAACATGGGTGCTATAAACAAAGTTATTGGCAAAGCAAAGAGCAATCGTTACCAGGAGAAACTGAAGAAAGTACCTTTGTTTTAAAATATGCATATTACTTGACACCCTTAACAATGCGCTTAGATCTTGCCTGTATTGTCCGAGGTGAAGATGCAGATGGCACACCCGTAGACAATTCACCACCGATAGGCACCACTGCTGAAGGCTTGCTTACTGATGCTGAATTGGGGAACTGGTTCATAACATTAGTCAATTCATCGCTGCAGGCAACCCTTAGACGTCCACCATCTGGAGTTTTTATTATAACATTCCCATCGGCTGTCCAAACATTTGGAATACCAAAGTAACTCCGAGCTGTATGGAATACTGCTTGACGTGCCTTAGTAAGTAATTCACGCAGCACCAAAGAGGATCCCATGAGTTTCGTTTTATTCCTCCAAGTGCTGGCACGCAAACTATATGCAGAGAATCGGAAAACAACAGGACGCGAACGACCCTCAGCAAGGGCACCCAGCCGGTAACATGACTTAAAAGATGAGGGATCCAAGCCACTGATGCCCAGGTGTTTTTGTAGCAGAGTTATAACAGTAGCTTTTAAGTTCTCATCAGGTTTCTCGGGGACTCCACAGAGAAGAAGATGCTTGCCCCGATGCCTCGCTTCCTGTCGATCCAGTGCTTTCGAGACCTCACCAATCTGCTCTCTTAAAATGGATAGTATACTCCAGAGAATCTTCTTAAAGGACTCAAACTCATCCCGCACCTGTGGTACCTTGTCCTTGTCTGAAGGAGATGATTTTAGTAGAGCTTCAAATTCCTTCATCCTGAGCATCACAGCAGACTCAAGTGACTACTGTGTCTCAATAACAGCTTCAACGCTGGCCATAGTGAAGTTGAAATGTGCAGTAGATATAAAGAAAACAAAACTGTAACTGTAACTTGGAGTAGCAGGTGAGTGCAGGTCACTTCCTTAAATTAGCATTAGATTGTTCTACCAACAATATATGCAATGAAATGAACTATAAATAAAGGTTTAAGCTAGTTGTTGTAAGATTATAGCAATTATTTTAATTTTAAAATAAATTAATTCAAACAATTGATTTGCTTAATTCACGGCTACTGTCGAAAAGAAAAAAAAAAGAAAAAAGTAATATGGAAACTATTTTAGTATAATTATCACATTACTGTCAGTTTGTATGTTTAGTTTATATTTTATAAGTTATACCAATGTATTTGTTGTAGAAATAAACATAGACGTAACAGGAATGATTCTCCTAACTGTTGTATTAAAATATTTAATTCATGTTATACTAGACCAAGTAGAAATACACTAATCCATTCAAGTTTTAATAATATTTTAGATAAAACTACTTCCGATTTTGAAATGTCCAGTACTAATTCAGATTCAGATACTTCGATCAATTCACCACGAAGAAATCTAGAATTTCAATGACAAAATTTGTCACTTATCACTAATTTTATTTGTTTTTTCCTTCTCTTCGATTCCTTCTTTTTTTTGTTAAAATAAATTATTAATTGTATGTAGTTTTTTATTAATTACTTTACCACTTCTTCTTTTTCGTTTCCTTTTTCTTCTACTCACACCCATTTTTCGGGTGCTGCGTTTTAATGGGGGGAGGTGTTACAACCCTCTTACTACACGAATGTTGCTGACTTAGGGACAATACATTTTTACCAAATAGCATTTATTGATTTTTGTCATCAGCAATTTTTTTTGTATAAAAACACGCAATTTTAATAATTTAGTCAGTCTTTGTTCTGATTGTGGAATTGCTGCCCAACTACGGACCCGGTTTCTGCCGGTTGGCTTTCAGCAAGGAAACTCTTAGAACAAGTCTCCGCGACGCGAAATCTTTAATCATCTATAACAATAAGAAGTAGTGGTAAAGGCGAAAAGTAACAGTGATTGTTATATTAAATAAATATTATTATATAAAATAAATATAAAATAAATATTATTATATAATATAAAATACAGTGCGGGAATACAAGTTTTTTTTTTAAACAAGGTTCGTGCACGGTGTAACAGTGCGTGTAGAAAACGAGACAGGTGAACCTCGTAATGACGTTACTAATAATAATGACGTTGTAGAAATAATGACTGAAGCAACAGATGACGTTGAAATGACAAATGACATAGATTGGATAACAACGAAAAGTATAGTGACGCAGTTACAGTTGAAACAGATATGATCGACAAACTACACTCAACCAGACAATGAGAATAAAGGGATTTCTATTTCATCAGACGGTTTTGATAAACAATTAAAACAGTTTTATATTAGATCGACCCAGGTTCTAGTTACAGAGTCGAAAATAGATCCACAAATTCCAGAACAATAATTAAAGATGTTTATATCCCGATTAATAATACTGAGGCCGAAATTATTAGGTTTTTAAAGGAACATACTATAGTAGATCGCATATCTCATTGCTATTTTTATGAAAAAAAAAAAATTCTTAGCCTTTTCAAGGGTTTATACTTCCATTTTTGATGATAGAGAACCTAAATTAATAAGATGTACTTCGCGTATCATTCTAATTGAAAACAAATTCGAACAACAAGAATTATTTAAGAAATACCACGAAGGCAAAACAGTGCATCGAGGTATACAAGAGACATATAAACATTTACATAGGAATTATCACTGGCCAAATATGTTACTAACTATGCAAAGATTCATAAACCAATGCAACATCTGCCTTAAAACAAAATACGAAAGAAATCCCCTAAAACCACCCTTAGCTTTAACTGAGACCCCAACAAACCCTATGCAACATCTATTTATGGACTTTTACTCCACAGGAGGAGCAACCTACCTTACCGTGATAGACAACTTTTCAAAATTTGCTCAGGCTATACCCCTAAGTGCATCAAGTAGCGTTCATATAGCCGAAGCACTATTACAAATTTTCTCTATTCTAGGATTACCCCATTAAATAACAACAGACTCTGACAATAAATTTGACAATGACGTAATTAAAGAAATATGTGCGTTATACGACATTAACATCTACTTCACGATGCCTTATAATCCTAACTCTAACTACCCCATAGAACGTTTCCACTCAACTATAGGAGAAATTGTACGAATACAAAGAATGCCCAATAAAGACGACCCAATACAGCTGTTAATGAAATATACTTTTATAGCTCATGATAACTCTATACATTCCACCACAGGGTATACCCGTCACGAACTTTTATTTGGCATTACAGTATCTCGCAACCCATTAGAATAATATCACCCCAAAGAATTTTCGTTTCGATTATGTAATCAAACATTACGAATGCAGAGGCTGTAGCAGTCCACATGTCTAAAAACAAAGAACAGGTAATATCAAAACGGAATCAATCAGCCGAGGACATCATGTTTAAGGTGGGTGAGACAGGCTATAAACAGGTGGCGAAAACTGTGAGAAACGACAAAACCAAACCCGTCTTCAAAGGACCTTACAAAATCATATACCTCCACCCAAACAATGTTGCTGAAATCATAGGTAACCATCCAATCGCAAAATCCATAAGAGTACACCACAAACTCTTACAAAGGCCGCATCTTGTTCCAGGACCCTCATTGCAGGAATCGTCGTGCTCTTCGCAGTTGCAAACCTGATACTTAACCCTGTTGACAATGTTAACGGAATTGTGTTGCTAAAACAAGGGCAAGTACTTAGACAGATTGATACTTTTAGTCTAGCTTGTGTCTATAACGTAACATATATTCAAGAAATAAACACTAAACTTATAGTTAAAGCGCTTTATGGTAGTGTAAAATCTATCGAAAATGACGATAGTTCGCATCAGTCCTATAAAGACCAAATAGAGCATAGCTTAAATTTAATAAATAAGAAAATCATATTTATAGCACTGCACCTTAGAATTATACGTGGTATTAAAAGCGGCTTAGGTTCTATCGTGAAAGCAATAACACGAAATTTATATAAAAAAGATTCTATAAAGATACAAAATGAAATAACAAATTTAAGAACTTCAGTTAATAATGTCAGAAATTCACAAAATAAATCTATATTTTTGTCAGAAAATACAATAAAAGACATTTAGCAAACAAATAAAAAGTCTAAACAATAATCAAAATAAATTAGTTGAAATGTTATCAAATACCACTGTTAGTAATAATTTAGTACTTAGCCAAATGCACTTCTTAGATCTTTATATTCAAATTAATTTTAGTTTACAGGTGGTTTTAGATAAATTAGCTATGTTAGAAAATGCAATGACATTTTGTCAGCTAGGTGTAATGCACCCGCCTGTTGACTAAAGTTCAGTCATAGAAGAGTAGATGAAATACAAATCGCCTCCATTACAAGCGATTGTCAAATAGAAGTCTTCAATAGAAGCCTGAAGATCAATAGCAACCACATCTCAGCTGATGAAGTTATCACTCTTTCAAGCCAGACATTTGCGATACGTACGTGCGATACGAACTCAAATTAGAAGACATACCTTTGGATATCATTCATGAATTAATAGATCGCGCAGAAGAAACCTATAACGACAGCGACATCAACTGGTAAACCATCATGGCAACCCAAAACTGCATCGCCTGCTGACCCAAATAAAAGTGCAAATGTCGCATAAGTTACTTATAGAATTATTAATATAGTTAAATCAGTCTTTGTAGAATATTCAAATAATAAAGTTGTAATTTTTTTTTTTTTTTATAAAACAACTGCCGTCGTAAACTTAACTGCCACCGTACGTGTTGTGACACTATACGTGTTGATTTTATTTCAAGGAATTATTTTTATAATATTTTGTTTGCACCAACGAAATTCGTGCCGTTGTCGCTGTATATATGATGTGAAGTTCCTCGCCGGGTAGCCATTCGTCTTAGTGCCGCTATAAATGATGCTGAGCCTTTGTAGCCATACATACAAAGACAGCAAAATAACCCTTTGTCATTTTAATGCTGCAGCCCTTGTTTGCTTTAACGTTAACAAATACCGTGAAATCGATTCCGGTTTTCCAGAATGGCCGCGTTGGGTTTGACCTTGATTCGGGTAAGTCTCCCATTACTTGACTCAGTTTATCTGGTTTTGCTTTCGGCATATTATGCACAGTTTGATATGCTTTTTTGTAGCTCTATTGCCACCTATAATCCAATAATCTTGTCTCAGCTGCTAGGGTCAGCCTCGCTCCTCAGTGTAGGGTTCTCTTGTGGGCTTAATCTATCAACAGAGTAGTGAAATGACTACTATGAGGTATGATTAGTGGATGCTTCCTCTCAAAGCTGATATTTGCATTAACTAGTCTTTCGCCAACCCGAAGCATTCCATTTTGATACAGGAATGGCTTCAAGGTAAGTAAGTTACTCTTCGAATCTAAATTTTGATCATTTTTCAGTTTAATAAAATCGCTTGCAAATTCTATCTCTAGTTGACGTTGGATTATTTTGTGTAGAGCCGTGCGTAGTTCGTTCGTAGTAAGGTAAGTAGATTTTTGTTGACATACCGATAATGTCATTCGTAACATCCACGCTACGCTACGTGTAGCGTGTGTAATGCTACTTGTTCGATTTAATAAGTCATCGATAACATTGTTTTAAATAGGCACTGTTGCGTGATACTGCTTGAAAGTTCTGATATCTTGATCGGTGACAAAAATATGACTGTTTTGGTTTGATACATATGATGTTAACAAAACTGGACCGTTTCACTAGAGAGATACAGTTTGCAACTGTTCGGCTAATATACCTCGACTCGCACTGTCCGACGGGTTTTCTAGTGATTTTATATAATTCCAAGAGCTCGCAGGCATGATTTTGCTAATTTTTTAACACGGTTGGT